GCAGAAATGAAGAGGAAGTCAAGCCAGTTCAAATGATGATCGACCAAATTCGAGATATGATTGATCTCGTGTAGAGGAAAATGAGGGAGACGATGCTAGTTGGGTTCACTGTAGTTTGTCTAACGAAGAAGACCTAGAGTCAGAGTTCAAGCTCTCAGATGATTGTGATGACACGGATGGGATGGAGAGAAGGGAGAGGATTTTAACTTTAACACTAAACTTGTTGAAGAGAAGAACCTAGTAGTTTCTGTTCCTTGACTCTAGTGACAGATGGTAGGTGTTGCAATAAGTCTGAGGTATAGGAGGATTATGGGGTGGGAAACCATAGGCTGAATGGATGGATACCTGAACCGAATTACTTATTCAGATAGGGTGTTTGTAAGGAAGTAGAGGAGAATCATCAAAGGTCTAACAAGGAAATCGAATTTGGGAGAGACAACTGTTGTGGATAATTTTCCTGCCCTTAGAGGAATTATGCAAGGGGATCCATTCTTACCTTTACTTTTTACACCAATTCTGAATGTTCTTAGAAGATTAATCTTAAGGGCTGATTCTAGGAATTTGGTGAGGGGATGGAGTGTTGGTAGTGTGGGTGTGCCAATCACTCACAATTTGTGTATGATACTATTCTTTTCTATGAAGGGGGTGACATTAGGTGGATTAGAAATTTGAAATGGTTATCCAACTCTTGAGAAAATGCCTGACTTTAAGGTCAATCTTGATAAGAGTTGTGTGGTGGGGGTGAAATTGGGGCAGTGTTGCAAAGGGACATTTTAGAAAGTGTTGGAGTTCTAGGTTGTGTAGTGTCTCAGTGGCCTATGACATTTGGGGCTGCCTCTGGGTGATAATCTGAGAAGTACTAGGTTTTGGAATCTTGTGGTTGAGAGATTCACTAAAAGATTGGCTTCCTAGAATAGAAGAAAGATATCTGTTTCTGGGGGGTAGGATTACATTGATTAGATCTACATTGACCAATTTGCTTGTGTACCATATATTAGTGTTTAAAATTCCAGAAGGGGTAAGCAAAAGATGGGAAAAAAACAAGGGGTTAACAGGCAACAATTATTTTGTGCACATTTGTAACATTTGTTCCTTCTGGGGATTGTTTGGACTTATTGTAATATCAAATTTTAGTTCTTTTTAAAAAAATTCTCAGTTGTTTTGCTGATGAAAAAAAGATTGGAAAAATTGATTAGGGATTTTTATGGGAGGTGGTGTGCAGAAGTAAGAAGTTTGATGGTCTAGGTTTAAGAAACATTTAGAAAAGGAATTTGGCTCTTTTGGGTAAGTGGTTATGGAGACTGCAAGCAGAAAAGGACACCATTGGGGGCAAAGGTGATAATAAGCATTCATGGACTTGCGGTTGATGGTTTGGATATTGGTTTGTGGGCTAGAGCAATAAGAGCTTTACTATGGAGATGCATCATTGACATTTTACCTCTTTTCTTACCTCTCATCAAATACAACTTGTGTTCTGGAAACCTTGTTAAATTTTGGGAGCATGTGTTGTTGGGTGACTCTCCATTGAAAGAACTATTCCCTTCCCTTTTTAATTTGTTTGACCTCATGGAGGAGCATGTCTTCTTTCTTAGTGCCTTCTAGCCCTAGTTCTTGCTCTGCTTCAAATGTGGGGCTTAGGAGGGGACTTAGAGATGCTGAATTAAATAGTGTGTCAGACTTCATGGTTTGAATGGGGTATTCATGAATCCCTTAGTGTCAGAGTCAGTCGGTTTTGGTGCCTTGCATCTCCATGTGTCTTCTCCTGTGCTTCCTTTTTCTTGGCTTTGACCCAACCTACAGACATTTCTTTGGTGCCTTTTCCTATTAAAGAGGTTTGAAACAAACCTATTCCTCCCAGGGTTAGTGGTTTTTGTTGGGAAGCTATCCTAGAAAGAATGAATACTTGTGAACTCATTTAGAGAAATAGAAAAAATAGGTGTCTTTCCCCTAATTAGTGTATCCTTTGTAAGGTTAATGGTGAGACTTTCTACCGCTTATTTATCTCTTGTCCCTTTGTTTCTTTTATTTGGGAATGGTTTTTCTCTTTGTTTAGGTGCAGGTGGAACCCCCCGCCAAATGTACGAAGCTTGTTTGACCCTACCTTTGTCAACTGGAGTAAAAGGAGGGGGAGAATTGTGGAGAGGTGCACAAGAGTAGTTGTTTGCTGGTTGGTATGTGAGGAAAGGAACTGAAGAGTGTTCTCTGACAAGGAGGTGATGTGCATTGGGGGAAATCTTTGAGCAGTTTTTGAGGGTATACCCATCAATGACCTGCTTAGGAAATGGAAGGAGGTGGCTAATTCATCTTTATCTAAGATTGTTATCAAGCCGATTTGGTCCCCACCTACTTCCAGGTTTATCAAGTTGAACTTTGATGTAAGTAGTGAAGGGAACGTGGACTGATCAGGCATAGGTGGTGTCTTTTGGAATGAGGGGGGAAGAATTATTGCACTCTATTCAGGCCCAATTGGTTCAGGGGACTCATTGAGGGATGAGATCATGGCTGTGATGGAGGGAGTTCAAAAAGCAAAAGAGTTGAACATCAGAAAATTGATCATTGAAGGGGATTCAAAGCTGGTAGTGGTTGGCTGCAGGAGTTGGGTTGGTGGAATTACATTAATGAAAGAAGTTCAAATGGGTAACACAAGGCATAGAAGTTAAGCATGGGTGAAAAGATGTGCTAATTCTTTTTCTGTGATGCCTTGGCCAAGCAAGGCGTGGGAAGGAATCACCTTTTTTGGGCTGTGATGTATTTGTATTATCATTTCTCCTTGGAGAGAGTTTACCTCTCTGCATGGTGTTAGGTAAATGGTTGTGGAGATTACCTTTGAAAAGAGAAAAAATGTGGCATAGTGTTGTGCTTAGTATTCATGGGAGGTTGAGCAATGGATGGGATGCTGGCTTATCTTCTCGTGCTACATTGGCTTCCCCTTGGAAGGCAATTCATGGTATTATTCCATAATTCCTAAACTCCATAAGGTATGGTGCTTGTTTTTATAACAACTTTTTTTGTTTGGGAAGACCTATGGGTTGGTGATATTCTGTTAAAAAATCTCTTTCATTCTCTATATTCCTCAAACTACAAACCAGTAACCTATTCCTAGATTTGTGTTCCCCTCTCCCTCTTCTTCTAGTGGTTTTGATTGGGATTTAGATTTCAGGAGAGGCTTTAGGGATTGTGAATATATAAGTGTTATTTGATCTGAAAGGTACATTTTGGCTTTTCCACATCTGATGGCATATTTCATGGAACATCCTTTGGCTCTTTCTCATTTTCCTCTCTCTCTCTCTCTCTCTCTCTCTCGTTCTTTGTCTGTCTCCTTCCCCTCAACAATCCTTTCCTATCAAAGAGGTGTGGTGCAGGCCTTTTCCTAACTAAATTAGAACTTTTTGTTGGGAGGTGCTTCATGAGAAGATCAACACTATAGACATTCTACAGAAAAGAAGGCCATTTTTTTTCTATGAATTGGTGCATTTTCTGCAAAACTTGGCTCTTATTTTAAGTAATTTTGGTTCTTAATTTGCAGGTCTTTTTGGGGGGTTTAAGTGGTGGCTAGAGGTTAGAGATGAAAGTAGAGAGGCAAAAAAATGAATATTAACTAAAGTTAGGAGGGTTAAAGCATGTGGCTGTAAATCATGGTATTGGGGGTATGAATCTCTCCTTGTCCACATCCAGCACAAATGGAAATGATCTTTTATTTACTTCTTTGGGTAGCAATATCCTGATCAAGATAGCAGGTCCTAAGCTATGGAACTTGGATGTGGGTCTTTTGTCGAACTGGAATGACCTTATTTTTTGTTTTTGTTTATTATTTATCTCAAATACATTCACTATTCCATCTAAGTGTGCTTGGCTTGTTTTCTTGTAATGACTCTTCCACCATGTTTAGGCAGAATAGGTGAGCTAGTACACTTGTTTGATTGGGCTGAGGGGAGTTATTTATAGACAAGGGTAGAGTGGGAGAGGGATAGATCTAATGGTGGGCGAGAGAGTCCTTGCATAAATTTCTAAGAAAGTAATTTCATGTTTATGTATTATGCTTTTTTTTTTGGTAAAAGAGGGGAAATTCCTTTACATTTTTTTTGGGATAAAAGCATGAAGTGAACTTCACCTAATTTAACAAAGTTCAATGGCAGGTCCTGATGGATCCAAGTAAAAGAGAAAAAGAACAAGGGTGCAGCTGCAAACCCTTGCATCTTTTAGATTTCAATAGTAAAACTTTGAAAGTATAAATGATATATGGTATATAATAGAATGTGTTTACATATATTAGTTTTAGTAAGATATAATATTCATCAAGGACTTCGTTACCTAGGTTGGTGCCTTGCTATTAGTCGAGGCATCAAGGCAATGTGCTCAACCAAGGGTGCCTAGTCACTGAGGCAATCCCTTGACAACTATGAAAGTAGGATTTTCTGTCCATGTATTAGTTTGCTCTAGTAAGTTGTAAGCCTAGCAGTTCATCATGGCTTATGAACTTTGTATCACTGTATGCCTAGGCTGATTATTGTAGGAACAGCATAAGGAAGAAGCAAAATCTAAATTATTGATTTTAAGAGTTTTTTTTTTTTTTTAATGTAATGCCGTTATATAGTCTCGTCTCTCGTGGCAGTGGCACCTATATGAACAGGAAGTTTTAGTCCACTTACTGATGTTTGTCATCTATAATCTTTTATGTACTTTATGCGATGAAAATCATCCAAGCCTGGTCACAACTATATGGGGTTGGTGGTCGGTTACATAATCCTATTTTGCCATTCTGTGCTGTTAATTGCTACATATCCATTGTAAATTATGAGCTCTTAAATCATTCCTTACTACTTCCATGTACCTTTTGGTCTACCCCCTAGCCCTTTTAGCATCTTCAACTTGCAAAATATGCTTTTAGGTACTGTAATGCATAGATGAAAATGGAAAATTAAATATTTCTCCACATTCAATGTTGGCATCTTCCACCGAGTATTTTTGGATCTTACATCTGTTTTGTTTTTCTTTTCAAGGGATTTCCGGCATGAAAAGACCAAGAAAAAACGTGGCAGCTACAGGGGAGGCCAGATTGATTTACAAACCCACTCGGTAAAGTTCAATTATTCTTCTGATGACGAGTGACTAGTGTCTGCATTTTGTAAACAACAGATCTCTTGCCTGTATTTCTTTCTGGGTTCCCATGCCAAGCAGCTGGAAAGAGCTAATAGTGATCAGAGTGCATTAGTATGATGCTGTGATACTATCATTTATTAAATCAAAATTTGAAGTTATATTCAATCATAGAAATATGCCCATAATTTTTGCCTTTGGCGGTTTGGCCTTTCTGTGGTGTATGTGCCTGACATTGGTAATCAATCATGTAGACTATGAATACTCTTTTTAGTTTTTTGATCTGTTACGTTAAGGATTCATCTTTAATGCAGTTCATTGTAGCTTGGTTTATTTTATCTTAATATTTTTGGTATGAAATTTCATTATAGTTACAATTCGTTTTTAGCGGAAAATTACCCTATCCCTTAATCGATTCAACCTTTTGTTAGACAATGTATGCCCTTATTCCAAATTCCAATTAGACTTGATGTATACTGAGTTTTTGAATTAATATTATGTATTTATATTTATAATATGCTATTTTATGGAAACCTGAAACCTGAAGGTTCTTTTCTAGAGAAAGCTATCCAGGCTATCTTTAGTCCTGTCTCATAATATGTTATTTGAACTTTCTAAACTTGAAAGTTCTAAATTAACACACGTCTCTAATGGAAACTTAAAACTTTCAACTATAGATTTTGACTTGTTTTAGTATCATCTTGTAAATGTATTTGTATTTATAATATGATTATTTTATAAAAAATGTTTGAAAAAGGTTTTAATCTTAGGATTTATCTGATCAGAGAGTGGCAGTGCAAAAGACTTTTAAAGGCTGAAACGTGATGGGATTCATAGGGTGGCTGAAATAAAGGGTCAGATTTGTGTTGGCCCATATTAAACACTATTTGATTGACTTGGGGGTTCATTGGTTTTATCTGATGAATTTGGCCCATGTTCTTTTTCTGGGCTGAACCCATATGGATTGATAACAAGACTTTTGAGGACTTTTGGGACCAATACTGATTTTCTTAGAAATCGGTGTAATGTCTGGGCCACATTAGCGACGATGATTAAAAAATTGTTGATTGTTTTGGTTGATGTGGCATCTAACATGAATAGGGGAGATAGTTCTCATAAATGCAAAAGTTGCTAATGATAATCACTAACAAACAAACTTTGTGAAATCGGTTGACATGGTAGCAAGGTTCAAAATATCGATACAGGCCAATACATTGGATAGGGGTGCATCAAAGGGGATACGATGCAAATCAGCCAATATGCCCCCGGTATGCTGCGATCTTGTTGTAATGGTACCAAACAAACAATTTCTTTGATTTCTGAGAAATCCGAAATCCCATTGAAGGAATCAACATCGATCTCCAAACATCTCACAGTTAAAATTTTACCTATCAAGTTTACAAAAACATGTTATCATATTGGTGCAAACACATTTTGTATTTGGAAATGCTATAAACGTAAGGTAATTATATTTTACAATACACCACCTTTTCATCTATTGTCCAATCCCTCTTTTCCCTTTCACATTAAATCGATATATGTATTATAAAAGGTGGTGTACAATACACCACCTTTTACAAGTATAATACATTAGGCTTAGTTTGGAAGGAGTACAAATGCAAATATGTAAAGTGCAAAATCTTATATTTTGTATTGTTTTTTATCTATTTGTACCGTATATATTTATATTTATACTCTTTCCAAACTGAGCCTTAGGTTTAGATTGGATCACATGCTTCAAAAAGTTGAGGGTCATTCTATTTTCAATACGGTACTCTTCCTATTTTGATTCTACCCATTTTTGCCTTACAATTTAACATATTATCAATTATAGTACCAATTCAAAGTATTTAATACATTGTTAACCCACTGATTTATATTGTACGATACACACTAATACACTGCGATGCTCTAAATCTTGGCCAGAAGGCAACTTTATACAGGACTGACATTTTTAAAACTGTAAGTTTAAATCAATTGTTAACGCAACCCTATTTTTATTCGGGCTGGGTGGGGTTGGGGCCAGTTTGGCCCAACCCTAATTTCACCTAGTAGAGGAACGTACTAATGATATGTAAATGGACCTTTGCATAAGTGCATATGTAACGTATGACGGTATGACTGTATGAGACGGTGCAAAAGTTGAGATAGATTCCTCGTTGGTTCATATGGTCCAAAAGTTATAGACGTCTGGCAGTTGCTCTAGACATCACTATGTTCCAACTCCCAAGTCTCAACTACCAACCATTGATGGGTTTATGGTTCGATCGCCCGGGTCAGTGGGTTGTTGATCAAATCAATAGTTTTTTACCAAAAAACGATTTTAGAGAAATGAAACTTGTTACCTGACTAGTTCCTAGGTCAACTGGTCCGACCGTCCGGTCCAGTCTAATCCAATTTTCAAAACCATGGTAGATATTGAGCCTAAATGTACTGGACTGGGCCCTAAAATCTAGTTTCAGTGCCAATTACAACTGTACCTGTCTAGTTTGTTCAACTTGGCCTTTATGCTCTGGTAAGAGTGCAGATACAAATATGCACGGTTCATGAAAATGACAGAATTGATGTGGGTCCAATTCCTTTGGATAGAGTAGATAGCGGGGACCATCGTTAGGTAATGGACCTATAGCCTTTTATCGGTTCTTGCAGGCCTAGAAAGGGTTCATCTAATTACCTGTAAGTTATTCAAATTCAAAACAAACCGACATGGTCCAGTTTTTCCCCAAAACCGGATTTTTGCAAAAAATCGTTGATTTGGTCAGCAAACAGCTGATCTGGGCGATTGAACCGTTTGAACCATTCAAACCATTCAACGGTTTTGATCATTTATTATTATTTTTGTTAGAATTGACCGACCGCTCGACCCGATAACTGGACCCCTGACCGGTTTTGAGTCTCACTATTGGTTCTCACCATCTTTGAGAAGAGTTATGAATGTTGTTAGTAGAAATGTTATACTATGCCAAAGAAAATTGAGTTATGGGCCCCAAAGGAGATGCCGTCTCGAGCCCCATTATTGATTTTCACTACCTTTGAGAAGAGTTATTAATGTTGCTAGTAGAAATACTGTACTATACCAAAGAGAATTGAATTATAGGCCCCTATGGGCACAAAGAGGAATAATCAATATTATAAAAAAAGAATGGTGATGCTTTGTCCTTTCACTTAGGGGCTGAGTACCGTATTTTATTTTTTGTTTCATCCTTTTTTATAAAATATGGATGTCACATGCACTTGTGCAAATGTACCAAACTGGTAGTGACCTTTGCTTGACGTTCAAGTCATTGAACACTAGTGTAAGAGTTGGTATCTTCAGAGGTTTGATGAAGCTCAAAGTAAGGCTCTTTCACTTTGAAAAGTGAATCACACATGCGTGGGATTGGGTTGGGATTTGGGAATATGTCAAGATTTTAATGTATAAGAACCCTCACTTGACTAAAAAAAATTGAAATAAGCCAACTCGATCAACTTGGTGCACCAAATCTGGTTCAGCCTAGTTTACAAATGTTCAGACTTGTGGAGTGGAGTGGAAGGTGCAATAGAAGAATCGGGATCTCCTACGAACAAAAATCCCTTCCAGCACATCCCAACATGATCTGTATCCGTACATCACACACATAATAGGTACCAATGTTGTGGTACTCTACACATGATGTGCGGATAGATCATGTCGAAACATGTTGAAAGATATTTTTGTTGGCAGGAAATTCCTACATGGTGCTTAGCTATGTCTTCCTTCTTTTAAAGATTTAAGAGATTGAGCTAGTTCTATCAATGATCTAGATCGACCCAGCAGTCTGGCTTGAACTGTTGAAATCTAGGTTTTTAAAACAGAACCGGACAACAAACTGGTCAGGGTTCGGTTCCCAGGTCAAATGGTTCAACCGTTCGAACCAATTGGTACCGGCATATTGGGCGTATCGATATTTTGAACCTTGGGAGTAACAATTTGTAATGTGCGTACTAATAATGCATACATGAGACATGCAAGGTGGCCAAATCATGAAGGAGAAACCTTCAAAAAAAATCATGAAGGAGAGGGAGTAGAGTTCATGGGTAGTTACAAGTTACAATTAGTTAAGCAAAATTCGACTATGATACTGAAAAGATATGATATCGAAAAAACTTACAACCAATCAACTGGTATCATAAAAGAGGTGACCAATCAAATGGTATTAATCACAATTCATAGGGTCTTTTAATTGTTCAAAGCTCTTCCCGTACCATGTCTCTCCAGTATAGATTTTCCCGTTATCTATTTAGTTGTAGTTATACATTGTAATTACACGTTGAGTTGTTAACAAAATTGTTGGAGATTTTTCCAATAACCTCTCTCTCTCCCTCTCTACTGATCCCTCTTCTCTGTACCTTCCAAAGCCAAGAAAGGGGACAGAAGCCTTCGACAAGGTGTGATAAACAGGTATCAGACTCAGGCATTGGCTGAGGAGGCCCGCCTCAATCAGCTTGAGACTTGCATCCAGAGCTTGATAGAGAATTGGTAGAGATGAAAAACTTTCGAAAAAAAAGGAAATCTAGACATTGAGGCCATGTTTGGTTCAATTCTCACTCTTACCTTAGATGAAATTCTAAATTGAAAAAGAATGGGTAAAAATAGGTAGAACCAAACACTTTTTTCCTGAAAAATGAATTCTTTTCAAACTAACAAGTGCTCTATGTTGCTAATTTTCATTCTTAAAAAAAAAAACTGTATTATCCATAAACCTTTGGTCTAGTGGATGGCTGGTGATCAGTGTTCATTAGCATAAGTTTCCAGAACAGTCAGCCAATAAACATTTATAGCAATGGTTTTGTAGATTTAGGCTGACAGTTTATGACCGCTGGTATAGAGTTTCTTTAAAAGAATGAAAATGAATAAGATGGGGCATGATTATTTTTCATGTTGCAGGCTACCTCAATTTTTGTGTTATGGGCTGATTTTACATTTGAAAAGAATGAGACACATGACAAGAGTTTTGTAACCAAACGCAAACTTACCTTTTGCTTCACTCTGGGATGGGTGCCCCGAAAACCTTCAGATAAAATAAGTAATCAGCGCCCATAAAGTTTTTGCAATCCCAAAAGAGGTAGAAGGCATCCATGGGGGGATAATAGCAGCATGTTGGGTATATATTTGTTGGTAATGATGAGAGGATGAAATGTGTTATGTCAGGCTGGCTGAATCTTCTTTCTCCCTTTTCTTGTTAAAATCTTAAACATAACTTGAGGTTTCAGAAATTGCGATTTATTTAGTTTTCTTCTTGAAAATTTGAAAGAAGATGAAAGATAAAAAATCCACAAAGGTATGCTTATGTCCATTTGAAAACCTCAGAGTATGTTTAAGTCA